ATTGCAAGTTTGCAGAAAAGCTCCCGCTGCGGATCCCAGGAATCCTGGACTTAATTCCACCTACTAGTTTAAATGTAGGAGCGCATCGCAGCAGCGTGCGCTCGCGAAATGCCAGTAGCCTTACGCACGTCACACAACCAAGCCAGGTTAATAGTGGTACTGCTGAGGTCAAAAGTTTTATCTACAGCGAAGTCACACTATTTCCATTACTAGATTCACGCTGCATAAACATCCACACGCCCTAATTACTTACACTAAAGCGCAGCTCTTCACAAATTCTTTCGTGCATCGTCCACTTCCTCTTTACCTGCTATTCCCGGACGACTTCCACTGCAAAAATGGTTACCTTAGTTGGGGAGGCGTACCTCCAGAACCTTCCATCCGTAAAACAGCATAAAACATGAAGAGTGAAATGTTTCTCGGAACGACCCGCGAGCGGAGGAAAAAAAAAAGCGATCGCTCAGAAAGATAGACATGAGTGGATCGGGAGAATGGAATGGGAACAATCACCCCCAGGAGGGAGCAGACAACGAGCGAACTGGGGTGAGAAGGAGGAGGAGGACAAACTTCCCTAAGCTGACTGGGCGGTGGGAGCTTTGTGCTCGCCGGACCGCCTGCCTTTCATCACCTGACCCCGTTCTCCGCGCACCCGTACGTGTTCAGTAGCGTGATCACGCGGCGAAAGTAAAAACGACGCATGACTGGTTGAACGACCACGTAGCTCCCGCCGCACTGTCAGCTTAGGGGTGAGCATACAAGCGGCATCTTGTTTCTGTTTCCCCAGCGAAGCCCGTCGTGTTTCGAAGCAGGGGGTCGCGTATGGTCGCAAAGCAAACATGCTCCTTTCTTTATTTTCTTTCGTTTCATTTGTGAGCAAGAAAGAAAGGTGGCATTTCTAAAGTGCGTTCTTTTCCGTCTCGTCTAGGTCATCCAAAGAAAGAGCTAAGTGTTACACGATGCTGACTTTTTTGTTGTTTACGTACTAGAAGAAAGTCGGTACCCAGAAAGGTTTCAAGTCATGCCAAAGTGCCTCTCAGAATCAAATCGGTGCTTGCTTGTTTGTTCAAAAAATCTTTTTTTTTTTTCACTGCTTATTTGACCTTTTTTTTTTTTTTTTCGGAGGCAACGATACGCATCGTGTATAAATATTCATAGAGATATATAAATACTCTTTTATATGTAAGCCGCAAGACACTCTTCTTTTCGTGTTAAAATTCCTTTCGTCAAATACCTCCATAATATTAGCGTAGCGTAACATTATGACAGCTTGAATTTTTTCTCCTTGGGTTTCTCGGAGGTAAGGTAGCTATCGCCGCAAGTATCTTGAATTGGCAGCCACTTTTGGCAGTTTTCTTTTCTTCCTGTGGTTTTCCGTCCATGGGATTCTTTCGCAACATAAAAGATATCGCTCCTAATTTCGGTTGATTCCTTGCCGAGGGAGGGCATGATGATACTTTGAATATATATATATATATATATATATATTTTTTTTTTTTTTAATTTGAAGAGCGTGAAGGATAGATGCAAAGTTTTCTTTTCTGAGCCTTTAAATCCCAAACTTTAGAAAAGCGTACATAAACAAATAACGTTTATAGGTTTGTCGTGTACTCCTCGTACTCCCCGCCCTGCGCTCGTTGGCTGTGTCTTTCAGCGAACACAAACTCCCTTGACACATTTTTTCTTCATGCTGCCCGCACGTCTCAAAAATGTTCCTCCAATCCAATGTGATTGTCTCGTGGAAGCCATGAAACTGCGTTGTGCTGTATCGCACTGCCCAGCAAGGTGAACCAATACCTTTCGTGTTTTGTTGTTTTGCGTTATTTTATTAATGAAGAAAGACAGGCCGCCAGAAATTACTGAAAACACGCAGGCGAGCCGGTGAACTTTCAACAGATTAGAAACCTGAAACCAATTTCTTTGTTTTTCCGTCCCAAATTTTCAAGATGTTGGGAGGGCTATATATGTTTATCATAGTATCGTACTTTTTCGTGGTGTTTTTTTAAGTAGTGGAAGTCAGAGTCGTAACATACTCTAATAGCCAAAGTAGTCAAAAATCACAATCGAAGGTCCGCTTGGTCTTTTGACGTAGGAACAATGGCAAAAGAAAGCAGATATCGGTTTCCACTGAAAAACAAACGCAACTGCAATCACTGAAAGACAGACTAAGATACGCAAGGAGCGGCGAGTTCCAAGGTAAACGGACAGAAGCTCACCGGACAAAAGGTCACCGGCGAGCATTTCTCCGGTGAACTTCTGAGAAGCACCTTGCGCGAGTCATACATACTTTTTTTTTTCATATATAGAATGCGCTGTTTAATTTCTCGTGTCATTGGCATGGAGAAAAGCAAACAATTTCATTCGGGTGAGCTTTTGTCCGGGTTCGCGAGTAAGAGCGGTGAGGTGAGCCCGACGTTTGAGCGGCCATATATGGCACTTCCGGGTCCATATCACATGAGCGAATGACGTTTTAGCGAACAGTGACATTTGAGCGAATCGACGTTTTAGCGAACAACGGGGGCGCGCGTTAACCCATCCGCCGCGCTGCGCTTACGCCGCTTCTCGGCGACAGTCTGCGGCGGCTCATTACAAGAATGTCAACTCATTTGGCCCACCCGAAAACGCCGCTTCGCGGCATCCGACTATTCGCTAAAGTGTCATTCGGTGAAACGTGGGCGTTCGCTAAAACGATCATTCGATCAAGTAAGTGCCTCCCGGCACTTCCGTAGGTCTTTTATTTAGAATATTTTGTTGCTCAAGATATTTTCTAATCGTCGCGTCTTGTACCGACAAGCCTAAGAAACTTTTACTACTGTTGGACGATGGATGGACCCGGAAATTGTATATTGGTTGGTTTAGGAACCTAAAGCAGTGTGTCTACGCCTCTTGATTGGATAGCGGGTTAATAACGGTCCTGTGCGAAGATTTAAACATTTTCAAATAATCATTTTGTAAAAGTAGCATGTAGCATAAATCATCCAACCTGAAGAGACCATTCATGTCGCATTGCATTTATGTGTAGGAATGACCCGCTGCATGCACTGAGCTGAATTCATAGTGTTTGCATTTTTGTTTATTATTGCTGTATGCGACACATATCTTTTGATGCTTCGCAAATTTTCTTTGCAGTCGCCGTCGCCCACCTCCCTCCCTCCAACCCTCAAAAAAAAAATGTTAATGCATTGTTTGCTACAGTCAGAGATGGGCAGTATTTCAAATACAAGTATTTAAAATACGTATTTCAAATACTTTGTGTATTTTGCATTTGTATTTAATTACAAATTGGGTAATGTATTTGACGTGTGTATTTAAATACTAAAACGTGGGTATTTCAAATAAAATTGTAATTAAATACAATTTTGTGGGCTAAAATAGATCCCTCAAATTTATTGTCACTGTCCAGAGCAGGAGGAAAACCACGTTCTGCACCGAATGCAGTGTCTCTCAATCAAGCACACGCGTTTAGTGACTTTGTCATTACGACCGTGCTAGTCCAGGGCAAGAATAGTGACGAAATCGACGTTCACAGGCAGACTGGCTAAATAAGTGCCTGTGACAACTTGTGACGCTTTCCAGCCTGATTTCCATCCATATTTTTGCCTGGAACATTCTAAATGCGCGGGAGTCCAGATTTTGGTAACTGGTGCGAGTTGCAACAATAAAAAATTCTCTAGCTAGTGCTGCGCGTCTTGGTCGTCTCGGTTCTTTGTTGGCCTATACCAAAATGTAATCGACAAAAAAACTGCTTGAAGCTCTGTACTTCTTTCACCTATTACGCCCAAGCTAATTACATTTTTCTGTGATTATATTTCTATTACGTTACTAGAGCCTCGCACGCTAACTCCCGAGTGTATAATGCAAAATTAAAATGAGATACCCAGAAACTCGTTGCAGGTGCCCTGAAGTCGCTGACGCAAAATTTGAGGAATGTATTTGGAAAAGTATTTGGAGGAGACCAAATACATTTGGTTGTATTTGTATCTTGTATTTAAATGCTTTCTTGGAAATGTAATTGGATTTGTAATTAAATACATTTTTGACGAAGTATTTTGTATTTGTATTTCGATACATATTTGCATGTATTTTGCCCATCCCTGGCTACAGTTCAGACACCATTTTTTGCGCGATGATAGGCATCGTTTTTCTCTTGGTCGTGATCACTCCCCTTATCCCAATTGCCAGGGGAAAAAAGCACCTCGCTGTGTTACCATATTTGATAAATATAGCATTTTCAGTGCGGAACTCAATTTCACCCAGGTTCGTGAAATTAATTAAAGGCTTGATTATGGATGCCGAAACACTTCACGCCAATCAGAATATATATATGAAATATAAAAACCATATGCAAAAAAAAGCGCAAACACATGACGAGAAGAAAGACAAAATGCCAAAATCTTCAATCCTGGAAGAAATAAAAAAAAGGGGGGGGGGTGATAAGGCAACAAACAGAAATCCAGAAAATACACACATACACACACAAACCACAACAGTCATTGGCGAATAAACAAGCAGAGAAGCTAAAGGGGGTACGCAATACGAACCCTGGCTTGTGGAAGCCGTCGGCGCCTGCCACGCTCGCCCCTCCACTTCGGGCAACAGCACCCCCCCCCCCCCCCCCCCCCCGCGGCTTTTTCTACTTTAGGAGCTTCACTTCGCATTGCACTCCCCTCCCCCCCCCCCCCTTTCCCAAATCCTGTTCTGTGCTGCGGCGGCAGCCGACGTTCCTAAATAAAAAAAAAAAAGAAAATATGAAAGGAAAATAAACCTAAACAGCCGGAGCGTTGAGAGATAAGCGCGCTGCGACGGCACCATCGCCGCTATGCGGGATTGCTCTTGCTTCCCCATGCGAGAGAACGAGGGAGCGAAGAAGGATGGAGCGATAGACAGAAAAAAAAAGGGGGGCAAAACATTGTGCCCCCGCCCCCCCCCCCCCCCCTCTCTCTCTCTCTCTCTCGCCGAAACAACTTTGGAGCCACTTCAGACTGGTCGGCGCGGGCCGTTCGTCGAGTTTGCGACCGACTGGGGAACGAAGCGCGGTTCCTCCTCCCGTCCCATTCCCAGAAGGGACGGCGCCTGGCAAACTGGACGACGGGACCCATCTCCCCATTTTTACCCTGTTTTCTCTTTTCCTCCGTTGGCGCCGTGCTTTCGAGTCAGCGCCGTCGTCCGTTCTGTTAAAATGCTGCAGCTCTCGCGAAAGACAGTTTGTTGCTCCGCGTTTGTCAGTTTCCCCCGTTCAACGCGCCTGACAACGTACCCCACTCCCGGACAAACAAACAAAAAAAAAACTTTCGAATCTCCAGTGATCTTTCGGCGTAACTATGATGGACTCCACGTGTGAATCTTCGACTGGCAGGACGCGCTGCCATCGACTGGCTACCTGAACGAACTCTCCGCCGTCGCAACGTGCTCCGTAGACGACGCTTCGTGTGTGTGTGTTTTCGACCAGGAAATCTTTTACTGGTCCAGCTCTATCGTCGCAGCGCCCACTGGACGAACCCCCGGCTTTCTCCACATCGTAAGGTGCCCCACAGACTACCCTTCACGTGCGTGTATGTGTATCCCTTCGAACTGCTATCGACTCGAGAGAACCATGCCGCGGACCAGCGTCACCGCCACGCTCCAGTCGCCACGTGCTTTTCCCCGGCGGCGCCGCTCCTAGCTCCCGAGCAAGCGACCATCGTCTCCTCCACTCCGGCGTCAACGCTCCTCATCCGACCGAGTCCCCATTCATCCGCTTTACCCCTCGCCCTCCGAGAAGAGAAGCCCCGACCGGCCGACGTCCCCCCTTCCCCATCTCCCAAGTCCTCCAGCGCGGACGAGAGCGAGAGCATCAGCGCTACGCCGACAACGCCAGCGCGGCGGCCGGCGGCGTCGTCGGGGAGAGGGCAAAAACTTCGGCGCCGTCTCTGCCGCCAACGCCGAGTCGGTCGGGCGGGCGTCGAGCGCGAGCCAGGCCGTCGCGGCATGCCGGCGGCGCGACGTCCGTCCACAGCGGCTCGCGGGGAAGACGACGCCGGCGTCGTCGTCGCGGGAGGTAACGGCTAGAGCCCCTCGGCGTCGCGGCTCTCGGATGTTTCCGTGCAACGGACGTGGACAGCCGGTCGAGTGAGTGCGCGAGTGCTCGGTCGGGGGTCCCACCGGGCCGACATGCGGCAGCCTGGGCTCTGCATCGGCATCGTGGTGATGTGCGCCGACGTCCTCGTGCAAGTCTGCGGTAAGTTTCTTTTTCGGGAGCGCGCACCAACTTTTTGTGTGTCGTGACGTGCGCTTAGGTTGAATAGCATCCAACCTGCAAAAGAAAAAAAAAAAAAAAGAGAGAAATACGTGTATTAGGGTTTTGGAAGTTTCTGCAATTTTATGAGGCGCCTTTGTTTTGAAAATAACTCGAGATGTAATTTTGTGGTCTCTGAAAGGTGAACGCTCCGATCCCAGCCCCACCACTTTTTGTTGCTTATTTTTATGACTAAAATACAGCATCTGTTTTGTATACACAACAATATAGAGTGCAATATACTGCAATACAGAATCCGGTGCACTGAAAACAAGCAAATGTAAGACACGTTATATTTGCATTTAACCGTGGTATCAGATGTCTGTTCGCATACATGCACGTGTTTCTTTATATATACATCAAACCTTTTTTTTCTTTTTCCTAAATTTTAGAACTTTGTTTATATGCTTGCAACTTTCAGTTCTTTTTCAAAATGTCCACGTGGAGTTAAACATTTGTTGTACGTTTGCTTTGAGTCTTTTTATTCCTGCGTTGGTTTTACCCTTGTGTTGTTTGTCATCCTCCACGAGCCTCGCATAACCACGTTAATAAGATTTCCGCCGGCGCTATTCATCAGGCCCGTCACTAGACCGCACCGCACAGCCCGTGGCTCGCCTGCGAACGCCGTCCTACTTTACTGCAGCGCCGTAGCGCCGACGGCCTCCTCACAGTCACAGGTGTTGGCGTGCCGCGCGCATTGGCGTGGCGTTCTTTTGTGTTGCGAACGCGGGTCTCTCAATCTCTGTCGTTGTTCCATACACTTGTCAGGAGCTGTTTGCATGCATGCCCATAAGGGATATACGCAATCCGCTTCTCTTCGTGCAGAAAATGATGAGTCAGACAACGTGTCGTGTCGTCAGGTGGTTTCCGTAAATAGCCACGCAACAAGCGGCGTTCACTGCACAGCGATGCACAGAGACGTTCGTCGTGTCGGTGTACCTTTTTTCACGATTTGGTTGATTCCGTCGAATCGTGGAGCATCGATTATGCTCCGACTTACCGTGAAGCGGAGTATACTGCTTACCTATATTTGTATGGTGTTATCTGTTACTCTCGAAATTGGCGATTAGTCTACCATTTTAGTTCATGCGCAACGTGAACAAAGCCGTTGTTCGATTTGGCACTCAATTACTGTCTGTTATGTTTCGTTCTAGTTATTTGAGTCAACGTTATTCGTGTACAGCTAGAAGGTTCGCATCGAACTTTAGTCGTGAGACAGTCCGTGGATGGATAGCAATGGAAAATAAATTGGACAGCTTGAATTTGTATGTATTCTATTTTGCGAACGTTCTGTTACGGTAATGGTCAAGGAACTGCGCACACGTATTTAATTTTTGGTAATATCGGTGACTAATATATTGTTAATTAAAGCTATAGACCGGCAAATTATATCCGTCTAAGTGTCCAAAGTTTTCTGTGTTTTTTTTTGTTTTTTTAGCGCTTGATTGGAAACATTTTCTAGTTGAGCATTCCAGCTCCATGTTTGATTCCAAAACTATTCCTAAGTATTTGTACTCCAGTACACGTTCTGAAGCCATTGCCCCAACACTCTACCAACTTTGTAGCCGTTACCTTTCCCTACGTGATATCAAGCCGTTACGGGGTGGTTCAAAACGCAACAATGAACGGCGCAGCGCATGTACGACTTCACGACTTCGAAAAGTAGCCTATAGATAGCGTAGCGGTCGCGGTAGGCCTCCTTCCCCTTGTGATTAGCGAGTTTTCGTAGATCGTTTTCGCCGTCCCGCAAGGCCCCCCGCAACCCGCTGCGATAGCGGGAACTCCACAGTCAAGGCTATTAGCGCGCAGGCGCAGTAGCAACTTCTTCGTTGCGGAACGCTTAGCGGAGGGGGCAATGCGATCTACGAAAACTCCCTATTGATTCAGTTAGCGCGAGGGGCTCCTCTCAATCTAAAAGCACTAACAACTCTATGCGCTACAAGCACCTCGGACGCTGCAGAACCCCCATGGCAACTTCACACACGCTCCACTCCTTGATACGTTTAAACTTGTCCCGACGATTCTATTACATTCCCGGTCAGCACATGACTGTGTCGTGTGTGCTGCGCCTCCGAAATCGCCCAAAGCCTCCGCACACCCAGGCATACGAAATCTCAGGCATGCACATGGCAGGCACCAAATATGTAGTTGTGAACAAAATGTAAGGGCGCAAACGAGCTGGTGTACATTGCACATGGTTGAGAAAACCCCCGAGACTGCGGGTAAACGACACAACACCGAAAGGTCTTTAACCCCTGGACTTTTTAGTGTTGTGTCGTTTACACGCATACCCGCAGTCTCGGGTTTTCTTTCAACCATGTTGTTGTGCTTCCGGTGGTCATCAGAAGCATCGAGGCAAGTTAAAGTGCTTTTGGCATTATGCTCGGACAATAGCGAGTTTTAGAATAGGGGGCCCCACAGCTTTGGGTGCCCGAAACAGGTTGGGGCGTCCAACTGCGCATGCGCAGTTGGAGTCCCCAAGTTATTTGAGGCACCAAAAGCTGTGGGGCCCCCTATTCTAAAACTCGCTAATGGACTGACCAGATTTTACCCCTTGGTATAGTGCCCGAAGTAAACACTTTTCGCCACACTAAAAGCAAGCTTCGCGCATTATTCACACTCTGCAGAAGGTAATCCTTGCAATGTTTTACTGTCAGAGGGGAAGAACTTGCTATTCGGCGTTTGAAGCGTGTGCACTTTTATGAACTAAAACCCAACCGACCTTAAATGCACACACACACATAAAGTGGACTGTGTCGCGTTGTCTAGTAATTATACGCAATCACGAAAACACCAACTTCATATTACGCTGAATGATTTCCTAAACAATAACATCCATCATATTTCAATCACGGCGAAAGGTAAGCGTAATGAGTTGTATATTAATTAATTAGTAAAAATGTTTTACTTGGTATAATGTGCTACGCTGAGTGTATATGCCGCTGTGGTGTGTAATGTCAGTTCTTTTCCACCGCCAGTCGCGCGCCCAGAATGCGAAATAAAGTTATTCAGGAAGGATATACAATTCACCACATAGAGGAAAAATAAACCTCCGCGAAGAGCCCAACTTCTCTTTACCGCAGTTTTTAATGCGAAAAGGAGTGCAGTGGTTTTTATAGCAACAGCGTCGTACGCTGCACAAATCCAGCAGCGTCGACCCGGGGCCGGCGATAAACTGTCCTCGAAGGGTCGTTTCGATTTTTCTTTTGTCACCCAGGCGAAATATATATATGTCACAACGGAAGTGGAACATGCCCCGAAGAAGCCGGCGAACGAAACCAAACCAATGTTCAGAGAACAACCGCTCCAAGTAATGAGAAAGGTGGGGGAAAGGGAGCACCACGAGCACAGAAAGTATGAGTGACAGAGGGACCACGAAGTTGGCTCTAATGAATCAATTAGAGTTGACGGGCTCTGGTCGATTAGCATGATGAGTGGCGCACTTGCGATGGCCTCGACCAACTTGGCTTCAGTTTGCGCTCCCCCCGCCCCCCCCCCCCCCCCCCCCCCCCCCTTTCCGAAACAGCAAAGCAGCCTCAGGGCACTTTACGCTTGTGTTATTTTATTTCTTTAATATAAAGCGAGATGAGCTATTATGTGGCAAATTATCATTGGTGAGCAATAGAGAGGGCCGCCGCCGACTATAATTTAGCAGCCCCTTCGTCAGATCAAGGTTGGCAAAAAATTTTACATTGTTTTTAATTTTTCTTTTGGTGTGGCAACTCTTGAGCATGTTATTATCTCTGCTCAGCGAATGGGACTGCTGCATTATCCGATAAGTATGCCAAAGCACCATTCACGAAACTAGAAGTCCGAACATAATTAGGTCAGGTGTTACGTTTCTGATGCTGTCAGTACAGGGCTGGGCAGTAATGTACCGCGATAGTATCTCAGAAATACTTTTGTGTATCTGTATTTGGTTATCTAAATACCTTAAAAAGAACACCTTTATTTGTATCTTCGTAGTGAAATACGTTTACAGTGTATCACCTCTATCGACACCGTCAGACTTTCGTTACATTTTGTAGTCTAAAATTAATTGTCAGGAGTTTTTTTTTTTTCTTTTTTACACCATAAACTTAAAATTCTTTTGTTTTTCGGCGCAAGAGCTTTTAAATTTTAAATTATGAACCAACTACTTAACCTCATCTACAGAGTATTCCGGGATACCTTTTTTGGCCTTTTTGCGGAAGTACTTTAGGGATACCCGCCCAGTTGTATCAGAGATATATGTATCTCCATATCTGTGTTTTTACCTTAAATTACATGCACCTCAGTCTTTGTATTCCGGAGTGCCTTTTTAGAGCCCAGCTTTTAGGCGTCCGTTTCCGGGTTATGCGGCGTCGGCGTAACCGCATGTTGCATTATAGGATGTTTCCCATAATGGCGTCACACGTGATGTCACGTGGGTAAATTTAGCGAACATTTACTTGCTAAATTCAGCAGGGAAATGTTACCGCTACCTTTAGCGGGAAATTTTTCTGCTATGATTAGTGGAAAATTTACCCGCTAAGTTTAGTGACGAAATGTTGCCGCTACATTTTGTTTCCCCGCTAAATTTTGATTTTTTTAGCCCAGCCTCGTGTTACCGATTATAGTACAGTTTGATTTATTTGATTTCAATTAAAAATCTGCCTATTTCAGTCAAAGAATAAAATGGGCGTAAACAGGTAAAAAAAGAAAGATGCAATAACGCAGCTTTATAAGGCCCCTGACCCGCCCTACATTTGAAAGCTGCATGGGCGGTCAAGAATATCATAAGAATATTTCGAGAAAGAGGAATAATTCATAAACGAGAAGTAATGCACTTAGTTCCTGATGGCATACATTGCCACGTGAAGTAACGCAGGCGGAGCTAGTTCCGAGAATCTTAAGTGTCATCGCTCTGCAGTTGATCCACCTGATAATGATTATTTACGGGCTTTTCCCTTCACAGCGGGTAA